GATTTCAAGACAGAGAAAGTTGTATCTACTTGATTCTGGCACTTGGGTGCAGGCAATACAATCTGTACACTAATCTCCATGCTTCTTCCCATTGCTGAACAATACCTTAGACCCCTGTCTCACTGGAAAGGTTTGTTTGTTGTTTTTTAATAAACAGCCATGCTTAGCTGTAATGCCTGATGAAAGCTTAGAACGATCTCCACTATTCTGTCTTCAGCCTATTTTTCCTCTCTTTATATAATGCTTACTTCATGAGAATAGGAACAGATTTCTCTTCTTTAATTTTGCATATAGTATCAGAAGCGTGGTGAATTTTCCATATCTGATGGGACTCTTCGCTCATGTGACTGTTTATTTCCTCTTAGATGAAAGGATTACTTCTTAATGTGTTATTCATGTTCACTACTCTTCATGTCCTCATTCAACAGATAGTGACTACCACACTGTTGCAGCTGCTCTTGACATACCTGGGCTAGTGAACAGAAGCCCGCAAAGTCTCGACCTCAGGGAGTCTGCCTTCTGCAGGGGCAGGCACACAATTAACAAATAAAAACCCACATATGCCAGGTCATGAAAATGTGCTCTGGAGAACAATAAAACAGAGGAAAGGACAAGAGAGCAAGAGAGGGTGGATGCTGTTCTGATGGGGAGGCCGGGGAAAGCTGCTCTGAGCAGAGGACACTTGATCAAATGTGAAGTAGGTGAGCAGGAGCATCACGTGGGATCTGAGCCAGAGGTTCCTGGAAGATGCGATTTCTTGCCATACACTGTTCCTGATTTTTAATGATCTTCTTTCCTATATTTATTCGGCTCTTCCTGCCTGGACTCTCTCCTCTCATCACTCATTTTAAGCCATCCCCTCCTCTGTCCAAGGGCCCCTCCTAGTTTTTATAGTTGATGCTCATTACTCCCAGATTCTAGTTTTGCCAATTTGCCTACTTGTTAAAATTATTTGTAATCCCCAAATCAATACTCATGTTGGTTGGTCACATGTATAAAGTGGTGAAAAATTTGAGTCACCCTGTGTGTATATTCCCAGCTGAAGTAGAGCAAGGCCATACTTTGCCTTCTTGTTTCAGCTCTCATATGAGTATCCTTTTAATGGTTTAATTGATATTTTTCACTCTTTTGTGTTTTTTTGGGAGGTGATTTATCTGTTTAAAATGGCCCCCGAGCTGAGTTACTGTCTACTGTTCCTGTGCAAGACAAACAAATGGCTGGGATGTGCCTCACGGAGAGAATACTTGTGCCGGGTCAGCTTCCTTCAAGCATGAGTTATAGTGCTGTTGGACATGAGTTCAATGTTAACGAATCAACATAAGATGTCTTTAAACTGAAACATATCTACCACAAGGTTATTCATTGATCAGTTGATGAAAATGTTGTAACCAGCGGCTCGCAGGAACCTAACCTTGTTTTTATCCTAGGAGCAATGGTTTAGTATTTTCTAATTCAGAGATCCTGGTGACTTTATAAAACATAACTACCGCAAGTAATGAGAATCAACTGTAATTTCTAGGTCTTGCCTCTAAAGCAATTTATTTTGAGATATCTCGTATTTTAGTAACTGATTATATTCTAATAATGCTGCACTATATTTACTTTTGAGCTCTTCTCTAATTGCTTTATACGTTTCTTTGATCCATCACTTCGGCCAGCTCCCAATCACTGAGCTTCTACTACCTGCTCAAAATGGGTGCAGGATTTTCATTGTAATGACCCTGAAAAGTAAGCATTAGGAGGCCCATTTTGCAAACTAAACCCCTGAGGCCAGCGAGGTTCAGTGATTTGCCCAAGGTCACAATGCAAATAAAGCTGAGGAATCTGGATTTGTTCCAGGTTTGCCTAGCTCTGAAGCTTTTATGTCCTGCACAATGCTGGGTGCCTGATAGAAATTCAGTGAGTTAAACCAAGTGTTACACAAAGAAGACGAAAGAGGGAGGGGAAGTCAAGGACAATTCCTGCTTTGTGTTGGTTGGTAGCAAAGCTATTTTTCTCTCTGGAAGAAAGAGATGAAAGTTCTGATATTCACATGCTCACCCACCAGGCGCCCTTCAGAATTCCCATCCATCAGCTGGCAAATGGACACATTTTAACGAGCACAATCGCAACCAAGCAAGTTCTGGCAACAAAATATGCCTCCACTAATGATATTCAATTGTTCTAAGAAGACAAAATGGTCTGAAGTGTAATGAGATGCCAAACACACAAATGCACAAAACAGGCTGCTCATATTTAAGTCCTTATGTTTCTTGAAGTGAGAACTCATTTTAAGAAGATTATGGTGCATATATTATAAAGTGGGATGATATTCCACATTCATGCCCCACTGGGGCCTTGACTGTATTAAAAAAAATGAAAACAAAACCAACAGCAACATTTTGTTCCCACACAAGTACTTTGCTAATAGGACATGTGACGTGGTAGTCATTTGTTTGGGTTATTTTTGTTGCAGGCTTTATGGATGTGCTCACTCTTTTGATACACAGTGCATTCGGGAAATTTTTCAAACAGGCTTCTGAGAGTGAAAATACCCTAGAAACAAGGGACAGAGGGTCAGGGCCTTCAGAATAGAATCACAGTTCATGAGCTAAGGTGATAGACAGGGAAGGGAGTAAATTGGGGTTTTGACGATATGTTTCCCCCACCTTCTGGTTAGAACAAATCCAATTCTATTGAGACAACTAGATTTTTATCCTTGACCAAGTTCTAGTCAACATGTTTATCATTGGCAAAGATCCATGATTTCGAACATTTTATTGTAAGCAAAAGCCTTTGTTGTGATGAAATCCCTCTGAGAAATGTACACAAGTAAAACATATGAAACAGAAATAATATGGTTGAAGTGAAGGGAGGTGTTTTCCAAACCATTTAGATCCTCTTTCTCCTCCTTCAGCTTTTTCTTAGCAGCAGCCCTGAGGGAAATTCTGGAAACCCCCCAGACTCCAAGACACTGTGTGAAAATCACTGATTTAGATGAAGTGAGATATTTAAATGTCCAGGAAAGATGGATGGAATGATAAAAGGAAGGGCAGGGAAGTGTCAGGCAGGGAAAAAGAAAACACTCTACATGTTTCAAAGACGGAGAGTAAATGGAGATGGTGAGCTAACCCAGAAATTAATAATTGTCAGAAATGCTCACCACTCCTAGGGCTGGTGGAAGGAAAGGGAGAGAGTGGGGTTATCAGAGTCCAAGAGTACTAAGCATAGGCCACATAGTCAGTACTAGAATGATAAAGAGAGCCTCACGGCTGAAACCGAGGTCACAGCCACTTCCTGGAATGCCACTAGAGGTAGAGGGACAGCAAGGAAGAAATGCAGCTTCTTCCCTGTCCCTGCATCTGACCCCACTAATACCTCCTATGGGTTAAATCTACCAAGAAACCTGTTGGAAAATCAGACTCCCAGCCCTAGCATTACTAAGCAGAGTTGAGAATGGCAGGTGTGCGTCTAAGAGGCAGTAGGTCAGTCACTTGCCCAGTCCATATTGGGCTATTCAGCATCCACCCATAACCTTCTACTTGTATTTATAATTCTCATGCCACAACCATGGTGCCTTCATGCTTCTATTTAATAAAAACCAATTCTCCTTTTTACCTAGGATGATGCTCATACTCTCACAAATGGAAGACACCAAATTCTATCAGTCAATGGCTGCCTCTGTCGCTGAGTGATATTAGTTCCCTTCCTTTCAGTTGCAAAGCCCATCTGGATATTACGTAACTTAAAGACTAAATTTAAACTATCATCCACAGTCTATATAAAATAATAGAGGGAAAGAAGAGGACAAAACTGTATGTGTGTGTGTGTGTATGTGTTGAGCATGTGGGTAAGTAACAGTAGGGAAGGAAAAAATGCATTCCTGCTGTAGTTGGTGTTTCTGTATCTTGTTACGAGGTCCAATCAAGATCATTAAGGAGACATATACACTTCCAAAGATGCTGCCAGAATCAGAGAGAAATAACAAGAAGAATTTCTGCTCCCCTCTTCCCATATTCTGATCTCTCACTAATGCCTCCTTTGGGAAAACTAACAGAGACTGGTTGGCAAAGGAAACTGGAAAATTTAATTTATAGACACCCCACTTCAGCATTACAAAGAAGAGGATTATCAATTTGGGGCTGTAAGACACTGGGTAAGTAACTGGCATAGTTACTCTTCACAGAATAAATGAGTATTTGGCACAGACCTTAAGAAATAGTTGTGTGACTTATAGGTGTCTCTGCTTTTCCTTGTAGCTTATCATACACAGAGAAAGAGGATAGCAGACATTATGAAATGTGCCTCAGAAGGCTGCGGTGCAATCGGAAGATCTATAAACAAGTCCTGGGAACTTTGTATTTTTCCTCAAACCAAGTGGTTAGGACCATGTCAAACTGAAACAAATTGATGTTGATAACATAAGGTTTAGTGACATGAGGTAGATAAGATGAGAAACATCAATATAAATGTGGGACTCAGGGGAGGGGGTTTTGGGTGGTGTGAGAAGTTGTGCATTGGCATCCTTTCATTAAAAGAAGTGGTGTTTTAGGGATTGCTTACCCAATAGGAACCATCAGCATGTTGTGGCTTAAACTAGAGGTCATTCAGATAAAGATTATATTTGTGAAGTAGAACTTCTATATCATACAAGGCAGATTAGATCCATCATATCTTACCTATTAGTGAGTTCCACGCTTTAAGAGGAAGATTTACAAGTATAGTTCAGAGATGACCCTGCAGATGGAGAAAAGTCTAGAAAAATGATCTAAGATTTACATCTCACATGATAAAAATGAAAAATATTTTGTTGAGGAAAGACTGAGGTTCATTTATATTTAATCCACATATTTACTGTTCCTATTGCATTTCATTCTTTCCTGAATTTTTTGAGTCCATCTTTGATAACTTTTCTTCTCTGGAACTCACTTTAATATTTCCTTTGGTGTAGTGCTCATTAAGAATTCTCTCAGTTTTTGTTTGATTGGACAACTCATTCTTTTACTTTCACTTTTGGAGGACATTTTCGTTCGGTTTAGAATTTTACGTTGGCAGATGTTTTCTTTGGGCACTTCAAGGATATCATTGTTATTACCTGCCTTCTCTATCTTCTGATGAAAAGTCGGTGTTCACTTATTGTTTCTCATTTGAAGGTAACGTCTTTTTTCTCTGACTGTGTTTTAGGTTTCCTTTTTTGGTCTTTGATTTTTAGAGGATTTATTATGACATCTGTAGGCGTATTTTCTTTGTTATTTTCTGGCTTACAGTTTTGTAGAGGTTTTTAAATCTGTGGCTTCAAGATTTTCATAATTTTTGGAAAATTCTTAAATATGATCTCTTGGCATTTCTTTTACTTCATTCTCTCTTATTTTCTTTATGGGTTACAATTACACATATATTAAACTTTTCACCAGCACCCATTTCTCTCTCTCTCTCAAATTTCTCATTCGGTTGTCTCTTTGCTGCAATTATTTTCTACTAATCTGTCTTTCACTTCATTAATCCTCTCATCAACTGTGATACAATGGCTATTAACCTCATCTACAGAGTTCTTAATTTCAGATACTGTAATTTTCAATTCTAGAATGTCAATCTGATTCTTTCTTATAGTTTCCAGTTCTATGATGAAATGCTCCATCTTGTCATGTATTTTTCTGAGCATATTAATTAAGGTTTATTTATTTATTTATTTATTTGGTGAGAAAGATTCACCCTGAGCTAACATCTGTTGCTAATCTTCCTCTGTTTTGTATGTGGGCCACCATTACAACATGGCCACTGATAGACGAGTGGTGTAGGTCCAGTCCCGGGAACTGAACCTGGGATGGAGAAGCAGAGGGCATCAAACTTAACCACTAGGCCACTGAGACTGGCCCATTAATCAGTTATTTTAATATCAAAGTCTGATAACTATACTACCTGGAATAACTGTGAGTCTGTTACTGTTATCTGTTTTTCCTCTTGATTTAGTTTCTTGGAATGCATGTTAAATTTTGATTGAGTGATGAACCTTATTTAAAAAAAAATGGAGAGGTTCTGGATGTTTTCTTCCTCCAGAGAGAATGGCTCTTTTTCTTTGGCAGATAGTAATAGTGAGCTGACTCAAAGCTAGATTTCAGAATTCATTAAGTCTTGATATACGTCTCTCACCTGCCCTCACTGCTAGCTGTGTTTCTCTAGGATTTGCCACTGAGATTCAGGTTTATGGTCAGGGAACCTCTTCCTAGGAAGGCTGCAAGCTCCAGTTTTTATCTACAGAACTGTGAGATTACTGAGTGCTCTGTTGAAACTTTTAGGTAGTTTCTCCTCATCTATTTGCAAGTATAGGAGGTCAATCTCACTTTTCTCCATCTTACTTTTCTCAAGAATCCTAGCCTTTTAAACCCAGCTGCTTTGATAGGTGCCAAGTCCAGTTTTGGCCTTTCTACCTCTGTGAGGTTGCTGAAAGCCCTGTGGTTCCTCTGTCTCTTCTAGACAAACTGTGATTAAATTTGAGCCTTTCTCCTTTCACTACTTAACATTTGGCAAGTTCCACGAGCCCTCCTTCTAACCAGGATCTTGGCTCCTCATGTCCTGGTTACCTCAGAGGCTCTCCAATGTGTTTGAACAGATTTTGCTTGTTAGTATTTTATGCAGCTTTTTGATTGCTCTCAGAAAAGTGTTTTCATGCTACAAAACACCCTGACATAGCCAGATGTGGAAACTGGTGTGAGGCTACTTTGAACAGATGCACAGGATGAGCAGTGGCTTAGGCATAAACCCCTTGAACGCCAGGTATGTTTGTGGGAGGACAGAAGACAAAAGAACATTTGGAGTGTATTCATGTTTTCCTACCTTCTATTATATTGAGAAAAACAATGCCTTTACCCTCACTTTAGATCTTTGATCTAAAGTTACAAAGAGGAAAATATAAGTGGGCATAGCTGTGTGCTTACAGGAATTATATCTGCTCTTTGAAATGTTTTGAGATTTTCTGATGGCTTGGCACATTATCATATTTTTGTAAATATTTAATTAGTACTCAAGACAAATGTATACTCTCTAATCATTGTTTTCAAAAGTCTGTAGATGGCCATTAGTTCAAGGTTGTTAATTATATTGTTTTTAACTTTCAAATTCTTATTGTATCTCCCTGTCCCATCAACAATTGAAAAGTATGTGTTCAAATTCACCATCTTTATATTTTTCACGTTGTTTCTCTCTTAATATGTGTCTTTTAAATAATTCCTCCTTTTAAAACTGTTATTTGTATCTTTTAATGGCTAAGGCAAATACTTCAGTGTGCTTTCACTTCTCTTGCTATCCCTACTCCAACGTCTGTCGTATTGAACTTATCAAGTCTTTTAATTCTATGTTACTATGGATATATTGCTTTTTCCCTAGTTTCTTTTAAAAGTAACAATCCCTAATATCAATATATTTGATATATAATATGTAGCACATTGTATATGATATATACATATATATTATAAAATATGTATATATTATATATGCTATGTATGATACATGTATGTGTGTGTGTCTGTGTGTGTTTGTACGTAATATCATCACCTGGACTAATCTTTATTGTTATTTAAATTCTTCATCCCAAACTATTTTCCATATAGCAATTTGTGTGGCAAAGCTTCTTAAGCCTTCTATGCCTAATAATGTTTTTACAGCTCTTATATTTGAATGTTTATGTCAGTAGAAATTCTAGGTCTAAAATTCTTTCCTTATTGGAACTCTTGGCATTTATGGCAGGGGGAGATTGGTATACACAAGTGTTGATGTTGAATGAATTATAAACCAATATGTAAATGATAAAATTTCTTTAAAGAAAATAATTGCTAGCTTAGGATGAGCAAAGATTTACTAAGACACAAAAAGCACAGAACTTGAAAAAAATAATTTGATAAAATAGATTTAAGCTTCCTATCTATCTATCATCTATCAATATAAATTCTGCTTTTTGAAAGACATCTTTAAGTGTGTGAAGCAGCAAACTGCAGACTAGGAGATTCACAATTCTTATATTAAAAAGAAATTTGTATCCATCATCATAATCTAAGAAGATAAATAACCTAATTAGAAATGTGCAGAGTATTTGAAAAGACATTTCAAAAAAGAAGATATGAATGGCCAATAAGCATAGGAAATGATGCTCAACATTCTTAGTCATCAGGGAAGTGAAAATTTACACCATAATGAGAGCACACTACAAACTGATTAGAATGGCTGATATTTTAAAAATGTCTGATAATACCAAGCTTTGTTGAAGATGAGGAGCAGTTGGAACTCTCACACATTGCTGGTGACTTGTAAAATGATACAACTCTTCTGGAAAATAATTAAATAGTTTCCTATAAAGCTATACATTCACCATGTGACTCCATAATTTTACTCCTTGATATATTCCCAAGAGAAATGCAAGAACATGCCTACCTAAAGACTTGTACATGAACGTTCATAGCAGCTTTACTCATAAGAATTTGTTAAGAGGTAAATGGATAAACGAATTGTGGTATATCCATTCAAAGGTCTTCTACTCTGTAGTAAAATGAACAGACTATGGTAAATGTAACAACATAGATAAATCTGAAAAATATTATGCTGGGCAAAAGAAGCCACCAAAAAACAGTATGTACTGTATGCTTCCATTTATAAATACAAATCTAAACTTATGTGATAGAAAACAGATCAGTGATTGTCTAATAGGGCCAGGTGTAGAGGAATGAGAATTAAGTCGTAAGAGGCTCAAGATAACTTTTAGGGTTATTGAAATTTTCTATATCTTAAATGTCAAGGTGATTACATGGATACATACATTTGTCAAAACTCACTGTAGCATATATACTTATAAATTGTGTATTTTATTTTGTGTTATTTTATTTCAATGAAGTTGATTTCAGTAAAAAGTCTTTTGACATATCAACCTTATTTTTATAAAATTGTTAAAGACAATAAGTAGATAAGAACATAAAAATAAATATAAAATTCTATCCCTTTATTCATATGACAAATAAACCTAGAAACAACATATGTGATTAACTGTAATGGATTGTTTCAGTAAGTTTGGTTTATCCATAGAACACAGTCATTAAAAATGATGATATTGATGTATGCTAGTTGATATACAAACATACTCTGAACATTTTTACATCCATTATTTAATTTTAGCCTAACAATAATAGGATGAATTTCCAAGTAAGGTTTGGAACAGGAGAGAACCATAGCTGAGGGAGTAAGTGACTTGTTATATGGGTTATAATTGAATAGAGAGAGTTCTTTGGATGGGGTATGTATATATATAGGTATATATGCTTCTTTCTTTACTATGCTGTTTCTCCTGTTATACTTACCAGTTGCATATGTGATGTTCCAATCTGATCTTTTTCCTTAAAGTGAGGGACAGCAGTATTGAGGACATCTTGTTCATGGTGGTTTGATGTACTAAATTATATTCCTCACTATGGAGACATAGTTTGCAATAGGAACCATGTAGGAAATAAGGATATCCAAACCTAATATTTTATATGAATGGCATCATAATGGACACACATTTGTCATAATTCTGGTTGAGTCAAAATGTGTCTTCTCTGTTTGATGTCATTGTTCTTTAGGGAATTTAGAGGCAAGGACAATTCTTTAGAAGGACTAAATTAGGTCTTATCTATGACAATATTTCATCAGAAGGTCAACATTTACCCCTGTATCATCCTTGCACAATGCATTTCCTCTTTTTTTTGTTATCTTCATTTTCCTTTCACTCTTTCCTTTCAAATCTCACTGATCCAGTGCTCTTATCCTTCTTTAGGATTTGTCAGTCAAATGATGTGCATGTGTGTTCACACTGAGTTGTCAGACTCGATGCATATGCCATACTCCATTCAGTGACTCATTAGTGTATGTCAGGGAAGCTCTGCTACAGCCTTTGAAACTAATTGAGTTTCTATAATGTGATACTTTGAAATTGTGATTTATAATAAGAAATACGTATTTGGTCTTTGGCCTACTTCCTGGCACAGAGCTCCTAAAACCCTTGGAATTTCCTATGACAAGAGCAATAAAATTGTCTTTTGTTATGTTGATGAGGTGACTTTTGGAAATCTCTTAGGTAAACTAAGGATGGGGGTTAGTTGCCAGGAAAACCAACCTATGATTAAAGGGTTGA